GATGAGTTGTGGTATCAGCAGGCATCCGCGGAGTCGCACCCAATTTTCCTGTACCCTGCGCTAACGGAACACGGAGGCACGAGGCAGCCCCCCACTAGCAAGGAAACAAATCTAGGCTGTGGAAAGTCTACTGCTGACAACCCAAGAGCTCCACAGACCTCTGATGGAAAGTTTCCAGGATGCTCCAAGAGAGAGAGAGGAAGAGCAAGTCAAAAGTCGAGTGAAAAAAAAACCTATAAGTACACCACATGCATTAGCTACTATCTTTTAAATGAAACAAAGAAAGGTATTTCAGATAGGTACAAACCTCTTACTAAGAGGGTTTTCCTTTGAAGCGTGGTGTATGTCCTCGTGGCAATTATCTAATCCAACGAAGCTGGACTTTTCCACAATATCCAAAAGCCANCCACCAAAAGAGAGCACATCTAACCATAACCTCACATAATTTCAATCCTAAGTTATGTTGAGGGCAACTATTCAGAACATTAAAATTTAAATTTTGTTGAAGAATATGCTTTAAAACGTTTGCGATTTTATTTGTAGTAACTAACCGAGGTATTAAATAGAACAGTGATTTCATAGAATGTGTTACTAGAAAATTGACATAGTGTCCTGGTTTCATGAGATGTGCTCGTTCATACTCTCTAGCTTCTATAAAATCATCCTCCATTGGCATACCATGTCTAACAGAAAGCTTGTTTTGGCAATTTTTACATTCTTTTAACATTTTTGTTTTAAGCAAAATTTTAATAATAGCTCCACCCATGTAAACTAAAGTACAGCGAGCTATTTTTGTTTCTTTATGAATGATAATATTTCTTGGTATTTCTGGCAGATCTTTGTCAGTGTCTAAGGGACGTACACCAGCTATATATTCACCAGTTAAGAAGGTTCTTAAATTATCCAAGCACTCTGTGGCCATATCTTTCTGACAGTTTGAACCAGGAGAATGACTCGACATAAAATTATTTACAACTAACGATTTAAAGGATGAACAAAAATGAGCTACATCCGGATTTGTATATCTATGGCCATGACTCCTAATATAACTAAAAAAATTTTCAAGAGGGTCTTGGTTAAATGCTCCTGTTAACACAAACTTGAATTTTTTTTTTATTAACAGAATTTGCCTCAGATATATGAATCCCTTAACAGTAAATTTTAAATTTTTCAAAGTAGGAATAGCAACAAACCTTTGCTTTTCCAAAGAAAAAAATTTCATGGTATCTAAAATTTTTAGCGAATTTTGCCAAAATTCTTCATGAATGGAATTTTTTGTTACTGCCCATTTCAGTGGTTCAGCCTGTGGTTTAGACTTTTTTGAAATATTCAATGAATCGAATAGTTTGTCCAAAAAAAGAATAAGGTCAGCCGTATCCGTTGCTTCCTTAGGCAGATTATAGTTGTCCTTAATATCTGAAACAAATAAATAAATTAATTTAGCAAAATATAAGTCACTTTTTCTTGTAAGAGATACAAATAATAATAATCATTACTGGGCATCACCCATAAACAAACATTCTGTCATACAGGTTTAGCATTTTACGTTGCACTCTCGTAGGAAACAGTATCCATTCATGCCCACCTAATGACTATTATTTATTTTATTAATCTGACCACGCACCATAAAATGAGTATGCAGATTAGATTTAGATTCTTCAAACTTTATTTGACAGAGAAATAGGGGAAAATGAATGTTGACAGATAAAGGTATCAATCAAGTTATTGGGTATTAAGTCATTTTATTTGACCCTAAGTATGCTATATTCAAATTGATTTTTTCATATTTAGATTTTAAATGTAAAAATAAATTATCAATATTAATGACCAAGTATAAAAATAGTTTGTCAAAACTTACCCCATTGTGCAATGCGTTTCATTAGTGACCCTACAGCATGACTAAACACTTGCGTACAATTTTTGACCTTCATTTTGTTCATTTTTGATGGGATTATATGGGCATCTGTTAATTTATTGCAGATCCTTAGAGCTGGTTCTGATGAATCTAATTTATAAAATTGGTCTATATGACTCCATTTTCCAATTTTATTTTGTCCATCCATAGTGAAATGTAAGTTTTTATTTAATAAATTATTCCTAAGTCCTTTAAAAAGATGTGGGACATCGTACAATGGAATAATCTCCCGTCCGTCAACTAAAAATCCAAAATGTTTATTTTCTATATTGTCCCGTATGCATTGTTCTTTGGTTTCCTTTAATAATAAATTGATAGCCGTTTGGTTTGTGCTGCCTTGATCACAGACTGTTGCTATAACATCTAACCCTATGCTCTGACATTGCCTGATTATAATTTTAGTCATGTCCTTTAATTTATTTGACTTTACAGGTCCATGACTAAAAGTAAAAGCAATGGGCTGCTTCCATTGTCTATAGACTCCCTTTAACATATAAACATTAGCATGATCAGCTAATACGGCTCTTTTTTCATTTCCATAATCTTCAATACCAGTTATTACATCATGTTTTCTTTGATATGTTACATTCGATTGTAACGCTATTTCATCGAAGAGTAAAACACAAACTTTCTCTTGCACATTTTTCATATTTTCAATCGATAATACTTTGGGACTATCAAAAATTTGCTTATTAATTCCAGGATAAAATGGAGTCTATTGGAGGAGGGTAGTCACTGTTCTGGAAGACAGCTAAGATTTTTTCTTCCAGTGTACCGTCTTGCCTGTAACATTAACTGTTGGTTTCTGACCTGACACATGATAAAATGATACGTAGGATCATTCACATATTGCACGAGGTTCTGAAAATCTCTGGAATTCTGAACTTATTCTACAGTTGTCAACCGTTCTCGATAAGATTTGATATTTTTGTTCATCACCGACATCTTTTCACACCAGTTCTTCAGAGTTTGGTAGAAATGTTTTGCCTTTCAAGTCAACTACTACGAGTTGTATTAACTTGACTTAAGATTGGTCTTCTCCGATGTTCTGAAAAAAGGAAATACCATATAATTCTGATGTGCACAAAACAGAAGTATGTAATACATAACAACCATAAATAATAAGTACAGTCAGTCTTAAATCATTTCTAATTTGCACGGAAATAGCTTATCTACTATAATCTGTACAATTATAAAGATAATAGTAAAAACATGAAAAGCAACAGATTATAGTTTACCTTCTTTGGATAAAAAAGGTATTTCTGCTTCTGATACATAAACTGAGACTCAATTACACTGGATGGTGTTAACATTTCGGTTGCCGTAGAGCTGGTAGTACTGCATTATATTAAATAGACAATTATTCTTTCGAAATCGCTTTAGATCCTAAAAATTGTTCACATGACAATAGGTGTGACAATAGGGTGTTTCTTATTCAATGTTAGTGTAAAATATGAAGTAATACTAGAATGGTAGAGGGCAAGTATATTTTTTATGATTTTTTAAAATAATTTTAAAAGCCGTGAAATAATATTGTGCAATCAATATAAATACAGACACTCAGTATTACTTGGTGTAAAAGATCAACAATGCAATATAAAACTCTAAATTTGTTTGAGCGTTGTCAATTATCTGTTGAGTTATTAGAAATTTGTATTGACAGAGGCATTTTCAAAATGAAGCAAAGTGTGCTGCTTTTTTTGGCAAACGCGACAAGTGGATGAAGAATGACAGCGTAGCGTTTTGTGATTATTGCTTAGACAATTTACACAGAGACTATGATTTTTCACTATCTGAAAACGTTCGTTAAGCGTTGGAGTTAAAAAATCTGGACATTTATATAATGGATGAATATTCGAAAACGGTTTTATTAGAAAGAACTTTGTCCGTCCCCACTAGAGTAGCAAAGCAAGAACGTCGCGAATAATTTTAATTATTTTAGTCTCAAATTTTGTTTTCCTTTTAGTTTGCTTTGTTTGCGTACTAGAAAGAGAATTACATTGGTTTTCTATAAAATTAAGTAACGTTTCAAATTTAGACAAACCTTGAGATGAATCATGCACAAATTCAAGACGATGAATAGTTTGGTCATCAATCCTACTAAGTAGCAAATGAGACAATATAAAATCCCAAGAATCAACATTTCTACATTTTTCAAAAAAACATCAAGTAAATGACGCAAAGCATGACGATCTTTTGAAGTTAATTTTGATAACCTTTCTTTTGCAGAAAAATAAATTGAGATAATAATCACTTATACATTTTGACCAGTGTATTATAAGATATTATACACCGTGTCCACCTAGGGCGCGTAAGTCCAATATCTAGGTTAACTTAATTTTTTGTCTACAGAGTTGCCTAGTTTCCCGAGCTGAAAAAAATGAAAACATATTTGCATATACAGGATGTTCAGTTTTTCCTGGGCAGGTACCAACTTAATTTTTTTTTAATGGAAACCTATACTTTTCATGGCATTATCGAATTCTACGTGAAAAATTAACGGGTTTAGTTTTCGAGATAATCGACTTTTCATTTTTTTTCTTATGTTTCGTCACTTCTAGTAGTTGACGTAATTACGATTGTATGACAGCTAGAATTTTTATTTTTTTTTCAGGAACTGTAGAGTGAAGACGGCTCTTTCATAAAATGTATCAAAAGTTGACCTGCGATATACAGGGGGCAAAAAAATCGTTCCAAACCTGATAATTTAAATCAAATCAGAAAACCATAAAATCGCTACAAGTGATTAAGAATTAGCAAAATATGGGAAATGTTAGCTAGCAGCACGCATTTACAAAGCAAATCATCCAAATTTACAGAGATTCACACTGTTTTGAAAATGTGATTTAATTTTTCTAATATTTCAGGTTTCAGAATTCGAGAGTAATTAGGAAGAGGGTATCGATCATCAACGGTTTTTTCGTTTATTTTTCTGTAATCGACTACAAGTAGCCACTTCTTTTTGCCACTTGCATCTAGTTTCTTAGGGACGATCCAAATAGGTGAAGAGAATGGGCTTTGTGATGGTCTTATTATATTGTTTTCTAGCATTTCTTTGATTTGTCTATTAACTTCGTCTTTATGAATGAAAAGGTGTCTATAACTCTTTGTGTGGATGGGCAAATCGTCTATTGTTCTAATTTCCTGTTTAACAGAATTTGTAAAGCTAAGATTATCTCCGGGTTTTTTGAATAAATCTGTATACTTTCGGCAAAGTCGTAATAATTTTTCCTTCTCTTTATTAAGATCCTCTGTTCTAATTAATGAATCTAGTCTGTGTTTTGTCGGTGTGTCGTCGTTTGTTATTATTTTATTGTCATAGTTTGATAAAGGGATGATTTGTAAATTCTGTGATTCAAATTCGACTGGGTGAATATTGTAGTTGTGTACTTCTAGTGTCATTTGTCCGTTTTCTACTTTGGTTATAATATCGGGGGTATAATAATGTTCGTTATCGAATTCTGATATGAATAGTTCGGTTTCATCAGGGATGTCAGTGGAAATTTTTAATTTTCTAATCTCTTGGCTAGGAATTAATATTTTTTGGGGTCGATTGAAATATAATGGTAAAGAGAATTTGTCATTGTAGATAAGGTTGTTTGTGAATGAAATGTCGAGTTGAAGTTTTTTGATATCTTCTAAACCTAATGCTCCATCAAAGTAATCATGAAAGTCATACAGGATGATATTAAGCTGATGTTCAGAAATTAAATTCGGGAAAAGCAGGGATTTGGGCTTGTTGTTGTACTGTTGTTTCTCCAATGCCTGTTTTAATTTTGACAGGTTTATCGATAATAAACTGTGGACAATGTTTTTGAATTATAGAAGGTCTTAAGATGGTTTTTGAACTTCCGGTGTCTACTAGGAGCTTGATGGGTGGATATTTTAATTGAATATATGGGAGTGAACAGGATGTGGTTATGGAATTAAATTCCTCTACTACGTGTGATTGTTGTCTTGAGAGTCCTTTGTAAAATTTTGATTATATTCGTCATTGTACAGGTCTTGTTCGGGATCTTCGTTGGATTGATAATATTCTTGGTTAAAGTCATGTTCTGGATAGAAAAATGGGTTGTCGTTATTTTGTGTGAGATGTTCGGTTTGTTCTGTGGGATTTTCGTCTTCTACATAATTTAATTCATCGAAGGTGAATCTGGGCGGTTGGTTATTAAAAGGATGTCTTGATGTGTTTGGTCTATCAAATGGTATTTGTGTATTTTTGCTAATGCTCGAGGTTTGCATGGGGGTTGGTTCGTATGTATTTAAAGTTTGTCCCGGTTTGAAAACATTTTGTGGTTTTCCGAAAACTTGTCTATTAGTGGGGAATTGTTGTTTTGTAAATTTTTGGAGATTCACGGAGATTGGTTGGTTAGCCCATTTGAAATTTTGATTTGGATGAACGTTTGTAACTTTGAAATTGTTCTTCTTTTGTAACAAAAGCGATAGCGTCTGTTAGGTCTGCAATTTCTTTCGTTCTTACCATTTGTTGTAAATGGAACGGAAGATTTCTGACATAAGTATCTAAACTGAGTTTTTGATATACTTAGCTTAAGGCTTGCTTGACTTCTAAGGATTCGCCAGATTGAGTTAGTTTTGACATGAGAAGAGATTGGTATTGTAGAATTTTATGACTAAATGAAGTGAGATTTTCCTCTTTAGGATCAAGAGTTAAATGAATTAAATCTTGCTGTAAAGTGGGTAAATCTCTTGGATCATCAAAAGTATTTAATATTAGTGAACGAATGTTAGGCCAAGTGTTAAGTTCTAACCTAGAGGAGACTATAACCTGGGCTTGTCCATTCAATTTATTTTTTATCGCACGTAAAATAAACTTTGTATTTCATTGTTTTCATTCGCGTATGTTGAGACTGATTCGTCGCAACCACTTATTAAATCGTTTAAAACTGATGGAGTTCCATCGAAATTAGGAATCACATCGATGAACATATTCATCAACTGATAATTGACAGGAGTGTTAGGCATTGTTGTTATGTTAGTGATATTATTAATTTCGATTAATAAATCGTTTAGATTATTCATACAAATTTACAAGTTGCTTGATAATAGGTCAGTATCTAGTAATTAAAGTACATTTTGAAAATTCAGACTTCTTAATATACAGTTAAGAAAGACTGACTAAAACTATAAATCAATTCTTAATATTCATTTAAGAGATTGAAGCGAGTTCGTACCAATCTTTAAAGAAGGCAAAGAAATGGCTGTTGATGTGAGGTTTTTATATTGTACATAATATTATTGTTGTGCATGAAAAGAATGTAACATTGTGGATTATGTGAGCTCCACACCCAATTCCTATGAGTTTCCTTCCGAGAGACTGGTTC